TAAGTGAGCAAAAAGGAAAAAAAATGCACAAACTATATGCTGATAAATAGGAAACAGGATATAAAAATGGGGGAAATTCCAAAATAAATGTACACATTAGGAAAAGAACTGTTTAAAATGTGCATGCCGGGGGCGAAGGGAGAATACCACAAAAATCTTCCAACCTGACTCAGAACAACGGTGGAAAGAAAATGCAGGTGGAATTTTGAGAAAAAGGAACTAAATTAAGATAGATTTTCAAGATCTCATAGGAAATAGTACCCAATCTTTTATTGCAAAGTAGCATTTCCCAGAATTTAATTTTTTGAACTACAACTGAGCCCCAGCCAGCAGCCAGGATTTGGTACCCAACATGGGTAGAGCCTGCCTTAAAGGGTTGTAGCTGAGGTCCTCAGAAGGCATAAGCTGATCATCATTCCAAAGCACTCCAATCCACACTGGACGGGGGCCGGCTCTACCATTCGGCAAAGTCAAGGAATAGCTTCAAACAGCAGATGCTGGACTGGGGAAGGAAAGCAGTGGAGGCTGCCCATCTGCATCGTTCAGATGATTCCTCTGGTCAGAGGAAGGAGTTACGGACGCTGTACAACTTGTTGAGGGCTCCCTAAACTAGCTCATAACTTCTGGAGTGATCTGTTATAATATTAAATTGCTGGTGTTCCCAGATCCCCGACCAACTAGCCAGACACCTTCTGCACATGGAATAGGAGGAGAAGCCCATTTTCTCTGTCTAAGGCAGAAAAATATCTTGAGCTAGTGCTGGACGTAAACTCCATCCATTCTGATCAGCTGCTCAAGTCTTTCTCCCATTTCCACTCCAGGTGTACCTTTAAAAAAAGGTACCTTTGAACCATTTTGAAAGAGAGACACAGAGAGAGTCTCATTACTTATGGGGTAAGCTAAACTCTCACTTGTAATTTGTCTACCTTCTGGGAGAAAAACAATTTAAACAATAAAATAAAAAACTTTCCCAGGTTGTAAATTTGGGTTTCCAGCACCAGGGACAGCAGAAGGAAGCAAGGAAATGGACAAGAGGTTGTACAGTATTCTAAAGCGATTACAGGGTCTTCTGGGGATAAGCTAGCAATTCAATTAAAGCAGTCTTGTGCTCTCTCTCTCTCTCGCTCTCTTTTTTTTTTCCTGGACTAATGTCTGGGCAGAGAAGTGCCCTGTTGGGGAGAACAGCGAATCCAGAAAGTGTTTAAAGGGCCATCCACAGTGGCGTTCTGTTCTGCCCTTCAGTTTCCTCGAAAGGATTCCCCTCAACCCGGAGAGCTGGTTCTCATATGAGGCAGGCCTGTGCAATAATTCCAAAGTAATTTGCAGAAAGTTATATAAGTGCACATGATGAAGGAAAGGAAGAAGAGGAGACTGGGGGTGCATGCACCCACATACAGACACACACACACATTTTTCCAGGTATGTAATGTTTTCGGCATGCAATTCTTCCTTCTGATAGGCCCCATCATGGCTCCCGCAGCCCATGATACTTTCATACACTTTTATAACTATCTATGTAGGGGACAAGACCAAGTTCTGAATGGAAGCCCAGGCACTCGCCTGCATGCCATTCCTTGTCGCCTGGGGCGACCAGCTGAGAACCGAAACACAAAGCCGTCTTCTGTTAGGTGGTGTGAATGGGGCATGTCAATCAAAGCCCGGCCCCAAGAGGAGAGGCAGACTGCTCCGCCTGCTTACAATACGTTTGGGGACAGAGGGCACCCCAAAGTATGGGCACAGCCGTACCGTTTTGCTCCACAACTCCGTGTGCGCCACTCTTTTTTTGCAGTTGGCCAAGTTCCTGGCTTGGGTTCCAGCCAGACTTCCCAGGTGGTTCATCAAAAAAAAAAAAGGGGACATTGTCCAGGATGAGTTGGGTCTGGGAATCAGGGACTCTTTGAATGTGCCAAAGAGTTTTGGCTTCAGTTTTCTATTATTGGGCTGTTCGTGAGCCCGTCCTGCCCTGGTTGGCACACGCTACCTCTCAAGGTGACCCAAAGGATGTTTTGGTTACATTATTACCCCCAGGCTCTGGCTGTGATTACAGGCATTGACTCTATTGACCAGTCTAGCTGCGAGATACAGAACAACAAACACACCCCTTTGTATGCCATCGGGTCCGGTAGCTTCCAGAAGGTGCATATTGCGCATCGAGTGGCCTTATACCATCACAAAGGCCATCGTTTCCTCTCCCGAGCCCCCTGCTCTGTACTCACGTAGCCCACGTGCCTACTGTTTTTGTCCCCCAACCATGTTCCTTGATGCTCATGGCTAGACCAAACTGAGTCAGTCCCAGCCTTGAATTCTCCAAGGTTTCAGGGCTTTGATGGCCTGAAAGCTTGTGGAACTTACTTCTTGGACTTCAGTTCCCATCGTCCCCAAGGTGTGGGCAAGGTTGGTTGGAGAATTCTGGGACTTTCCCAAACTCTGGGGTCATTTGGTGGTTAGAGTTTTTAGCTGGAACTTGGGAGATCTGAGTTTTCCCCTTCCTGTCCCAGTTGGTCCTGGAACTCACTGGGTCACCATGTCATTCTTGTCTCTCACCTGACTACCTTGCATGGTTGTTGTGAAGACAAAATGGGGCAGGGGGAGGAAGGGCAGCTATGTATACAGTGGCCCTACGTGCCATACTGGACGGCTGGCATGGTTCTGACTTAATGGCAACTCCGATGGGAGTTTTCTAGGTTTGAGAGATATTCAAGGAGTGGTTTTAAGCAGTGCCCCACACAGACCCCAGTCTGGGGCTGAACAAGGATTTGAACCCAGGTCTGTCGTCTCCTAATCTTCTGCATCACACAGTACTTCAGATGTACTGTTTCCTCTCCATGAAGGTATAATTCACTCTGACATTAAAAGCTTTTCAGCACCTGGTTATTATTATTTTTATCTGCACGGGCATTTTATGGGTTGATTTATTAGCTGCACTGTTGGTTTCAGAGTTCTTAAAGCCATTTTATCTGGCTGGCCCATTCTTACTGTATTAGTCTATTTTACGTTGGTATGAATGTTCTTGGTTATGTTCTTTATTATAGTAGCCTGATATCCATAAAGCTGAGTTTTTTTTAAAAAGTCAAAGAAATAAATGAAGCCATACTTACATTAAGAATCTGATTACTTTTTCATTTCATTGCACTTCGTTAATTGTTTTAAGCTTGTTAGCAGTTACCTTTTCTGATTTTTATGTACAGTTGACTCTATAATTCCAGAACTTTTTCTTAAAATGTTGTTGTTGTTGTGAGTTTTAGGTTATGGTACCTACAGTTATAAACAGAAGATGGGTTTAATAACTTTTTTGAAAAAAGAAATGTCTTACTTGGATGCCTTTTGAGTTCACCAAGAAGCTTTTTAAATGGTGAAGTTGACCAACTAACGGATGAGAAATCATAGATATGAACTACTATTACTAATTAAATGAACATTTATTTAGCCTTCACAAGAGCTCCTAAACTTGAGTTACTATGACATAGATAAAGACATTCTTTAAAGACACCTTTATTTTTATTTTTAAAGCAAAGTAGTTTTTTAAACCAGTTTTAAAGATTTGTGGGGGAGGGGGATAAAATCGTTCTAGCTGCTTGCTGTCCGCTGGACGAGACCTCCCTTGGGAGATTTCCTATTTAGGCTTTTGCTCTGAGTAGGTGGTTTTGATGGACTTGGGGCTGAGTGAGGCCGATGTAAGTGAAATCGCTCTACCTCGCTGGAAAGAGTTAGGATGACATCCCAGCCTTGGTTAGATGGCCTCTCAGCATCACAGAACCCATTTCTTAAGCAATCATCCTGGCACGGGAAGTTGGCAGTACACTGTTCCTTCTTAGGCCACGATGATAACATGGTCAGTCCTGCCCCCACCTGGACTATCTGAGAAAGGCCAATACTGTGGCTTGATGTGCCCTTTGCCATATATAAGGCTGTCCATACTGTTTGACAGAGAGAGAGAGAGAGAAATGGCAGAAGGTGGCAGTGACCGACTCCTACAATCAAGTCTTTTTTCCTTAGGTGATGGGGTTTTGAGTGCCATAACACATATCCTGCAGCCCCTACAATTGGCCTGCTGATTTTGCTTTAGGCGGAGGCTGGAAAACTTGGCTAGAATCCAATTGGGATTTTACTCCAGAGTAAGTTTTAAAAAATCACGGTGGCAAACTGCAGCTAATTAATGATATAGCGGTCTCAGGCCTCGTTGTGTGCTGGTCGCACAGCCAGGCACAAGACTATGAATAACTCTAAATTCTCCAACATGACTTCCATGTTGTCACTTCCCCCCCCCCCCAGTCAAATTCCACTGGGATTCTGGCCATTACTTTTTGGACTACATTTCCCATTAGCCCCTAACGAGCATGACTATTCTGGAGTAGCAGCCCCACCCACCCAAAAATTAATTTTCCAGACTGCGGTATAGGCAAAATGGCAATTATTACCAGCCTACAACAGACCTATCTTCTGTGCTGTTTCTAGGATTTGTGTCAATCAAGTGTACGGACAAAGAATGTTAGATTCTGTTTATTTCTTTCCACGTCTCCTTCTTGGAAGCGGACTGTCATGAGATTTCAATAAATGTCCGATCGCTGTCTTCCTAGATATTCTGGGAATGTCTGATGCTGTAGCCAGACTGAGATTTTTTGAAACAAAGACCACAAGGACTAGCTGCTTTTATTAAAATAAATGCTGAGATTGCACCATTCTGCAACCTGTTATTAAAGTTGCGCTTTTTTTGAACTTGCACCCCAAATCATGCCATGTTATGATAATTATATTATCTGTCTTATGCCTGGTCTTGTGCCAATCACACAGCCAAGGACATGACCAGACATATAATCAACACCTTGTTAATTTAGCTGTAACTCTAGCAGTGTCTTCTTGTGTCTTACTCTTCCCTTCGAACAACCTCCCAGACTCATTGTTCTCAGTTTTGATAAATGATCCTTATGCCTTTGTTTTCTCATTACAGAGTCTCTCCTCGGATCCCCACCTCCTGGGGCAACAAACCCCCACCTCCCCCCCAGAATTGAAGACTCTTGTTTTCCATGACCACAGCATTTGGAGGGAGACGAGAGGGAGACCCGTGAAGGCGTCGAGAAAGCTTCCCGCCCATCACTGCTGCTCAACTCAGGCATGACCACCGGCCGAATCAACTCTTACAGCATAGTCTCTTCCGAGGAAGACGGGTTGACTTTGACCACCATGCCTGGGGTGAATGGCTTTAGAAACGGGAAAATCCACACCAGGAGGAAATGCCGGAACCGGTTTGTGAAGAAAAACGGCCAGTGCAACATTGAGTTCACCAACATGGATGATAAACCCCAGAGGTATATCGCGGACATGTTCACCACTTGCGTGGACGTCCGTTGGAGGTATATGCTGCTGCTTTTCTCCCTCGCCTTCCTGGCGTCTTGGTTGGTGTTTGGTGTTATATTTTGGCTCATCGCACTGGTCCACGGTGATATAGAGAAGCCGACGAAGGACGAAACATTCACCCCTTGCCTCCTTCAGGTCAATGGCTTCGTGGCGGCTTTCCTGTTCTCTATTGAGACGCAGACCACCATCGGCTATGGATTCCGTTGCGTGACGGAGGAGTGCCCGCTCGCGGTCTTCATGGTGGTCCTCCAGTCCATCGTGGGGTGTATCATAGACTCGTTCATGATCGGCGCCATCATGGCAAAAATGGCGAGGCCCAAGAAGAGGGCCGAGACCTTACTCTTCAGCCACCACGCGGTCATTGCCATGAGGGACGGCAAGCTCTGCCTTATGTGGAGGGTCGGCAACCTTCGCAAGAGCCACATCGTGGAAGCCCACGTCAGGGCCCAGCTGATTAAATCCAGAATCACAGAAGAGGGGGAATACATCCCCCTCGACCAAATAGACATTGACGTCGGGTTCGACAAAGGACTGGACCGTATTTTCTTGGTATCCCCGCTCACCATCCTCCATGAGATCAATGAGGAGAGTCCGCTTTTTGGGATTGGCCGACAGGATTTGGAAACCGATGACTTTGAAATCGTGGTCATCCTCGAGGGGATGGTGGAAGCCACCGCCATGACGACGCAAGCTCGGAGTTCCTACTTGTCCAGCGAGATTCTCTGGGGCCACCGCTTTGAGCCAGTATTATTCGAGGAGAAAAACCAATACAAAGTGGACTACTCTCATTTCCACAAGACCTACGAGGTCCCGTCCACCCCTTCCTGTAGTGCCAAGGACCTCATGGAAAATAAATTCCTTCTTCCAGGCACAAATTCCTTCTGCTACGAGAACGAGCTTGCCTTCATTAGCCGCGATGAGGAGGAGGAGGAAGATGACGACGATAGCAGAGGATTAGATGATCCGGGCTCAGAGAACCAGCAGGAGTTTGACAGGCTTCAAGCCACTGTTGGGTTGGACCAGAGATCCTACAGAAGGGAATCAGAGATATGACCCCATGACTGTTTTTGAGGGCATCTCTCTATCCCCCCCCTCTCCTCCGGGTCTCTGTCCTTTACTAAACAGAAAAGAAGAATAAGAACCCAACTCTAATTATGCAGAACAATGCAAGTGCCATAGGAATGCCTGAGAAACCATGTGGTTTGTAGGGTGTTTTTCTTTCTAAATCTCATTGCAATAACCACTGAGCGCCACGGGGATGGGGAACCAGGGCCCGCCTCTGAGTGCTGTGGGACCTCCAGTGTTCATAAAGTCGTTCACAGAACAGACGAGACGTCAGATTCAAAATGGCGTCAGATTCAAAATGGCGGCAGGAGAAGCTGAAAGCAAAGCAAGAAAACCCTCGCCTTGCATGAGTTAGCACCTCATGTGGAGGGAGATATTTCCACTTCCCCTTTTCCTTGTCAATAAATGAGGGTCTTTTACATTTTTTTTAAAGCTAAGCACTATAAAGGTGGAAAGGGAAAGAATATCAGGAAGCAAAATGGTGCGCGTGCGCTCGAGCAAGCACATGTGTGTGTGTGTGTGTGTTTTAAAAATATTATATATAAGCTATATAAATATATACTGCCAAGAAATGTGAATTCTGTTGCACTAGATTAACACTTGAAATCCTATACGCTTTCCTCTCCGCTTTTCAATTGAGGGAGGGGTTGTTTTTAATTTTATTCATTCGTTTGTTTCAGCCTCCCACATGGGCAATTGTTTACCAAAAACATGTGTTTTTGAAGAAGAAGAAACAGGATTATTTTTTATAAAGAGAATGATGTAGCAATCGTGGCCACGTTTCCTCGGGAGTCAGTTCCCTTGGGTTCTGCAGGGCTTACCCCAGAGTAAGGGAGATGGAATTGCAGCCTAAACTGTGTCAGGTGCAGGGTCTACTTAGGTCAAGACCTCCCCTCTACATCCATTGTTTTAAAAATATTTCTTTAAAAAAAAAATAGAGTTTTCTTCTTAAAAAAAAAAGCTAGGAGTCATGGTCTGATGACCTTATAAAAGTGGACTGGGTAAGTCCCAGAAAAAGGTTCACATGACAAAACAAAGCAGGGTGAAGATGGGACTTGGTGGTCTGAAGCTGGGGATGATGGGGGTTATAATCCAGTTCATGCAGAAGAACTCCCAGTTGTTGCGAGGTTGGGTCCAAACGGGTGGTCCAAACAGCCATGCTCTTCCCTAACAGCGTATTAATTTTTGCTTCTGGAATTAGATAATGCTCAATGTTTTAGGGACCAGATGAGTTTTGGTAGTCAAGACATACGGAGAAGCAGTGCTTACTGGGCGTGATAGCAGTTGATGATTTTTAAAGTCTGAATGGATCCCACACCAAGTTTCAGTAACAACCAACAATCTCTTTGTCTGTCTTGATTCCTTTCTCCTTCCGTTCTTGGATGACTTTGGATCCTGATTGTGTTTTTAATGCACTGCCTAATCTTCACTCTTGGCTACTTACACCACGCAGCAAGTAGCTAACACTGCAGAGCGCTTAGCACAACATTTAATTCAGAATTATCCAGATATCAGATGCCTGTGGTGCTAACAACAACCAGCCGTGGCGGTAGCAAGCTCTGTCCACCAAGGGGCCCAGAGAAGCATTATAGTTAGCCCGTGATTAGAAGTGAGAATTCCGTTAAGTGCTGAACATGTCTCCTGTCACAGTAAGAGATTTCCGCAACTCCTCTACCTTGCTTTGTTTTGTTATCTGTACTTGAGTGGTAGACACAGGCTTCATTTTGCAGGTCACTCAGTCCCAAAAACCTGCCTGAATCATGGCCTGAAGCACGGAAGGATTTTAGGTTCTAATGATGGGCAATCTATAATGTATATCTTTCTAGTTCACAAGCTGATTTTGAAACTTTGGGGCTACTAGATCTTCTGTAAGACCACACAAATATTTTGGAACTTTGAAATCCATTCTCAAAGTCTAGATTTTCTCAGGCAGAGTAGACCCAAAGTTGTTTGCTTCCGGTCTTCCCCTCTCTGACGAGATATTTTACAATTCGATCAAAACTACAATTGGTATTTTTACATTTACATCTATGTGTCTGCTCTATAGATTACTGTGTGCAAGCTTTTAGTAAATATCTTTTTTTTCCCTCATCCCTTTCCCCCCACCCCCCAGCCAATGTATTTTGTCTTTTCTGGGGCAATGAGTATGTGGGCAAAGGACATAAATTTGAATTTTCTTGCTTTATAATTCCCAGTTCTTTTAGTGGGCCAACTCTTGAATGCCTTCCACATGGTCCAGAGCTTAGAAAATGTTTCTTTTTGATAACAACTGGAAGTTATTTGAAAAAGAAGAATAAAAAAAGTAACTTTCCCAGGGATGGCTCCCTCATCACTTCATCAGCACCTCCTCCGTTAAGCAGGGATGCTCTGATTAAAACAGATAAATAAAAGCAAAGGCCAAGAAAAGAGAATTAAATTGTTCTCCCGTGTGTGTGTGTGTGTGTGTGTGTGTGTGTGTGTGTGTGTGTGTGTGTGTGTGTGTGTGTGTGTGTGTGTGTGTGTGTACTTGGCTCCATCAGGGCTGTGCCTTAGAGTGAAGAGCGAAGTTGTTCACATCAAAAGCCATACTGCCTGCCTCCTTCTCGTCTCCTCTCTCTTTCTCCTTCTCTGCGCTACTTCCGAGTAACACTCTGTTCTTCTCTCCAGCCTTACTGTGTGTCTGTGTGTTGTGTGTGTCACCATGCCCATCCATCTGGAGGAAGGCATGTGATCGAAGTACAGAGCTGATCATAAGCAATAAATGTGATTTGCACAGCCCCTATTGCAAGCAACCGTTGATCTGTTTCTCCCTGGTCCCTGCCTGTTCTTGCAAAAGGAATTTTTTAAAAATTATTTATTTTTTAAGGAAAGGGGGAAAACATGCCTCATCCTAGCTGAATTTACCTTGGAGCAAAAGGTGGCAGGAGCAGGAGTAAAGGGACATCAGATGTTTCGTGACAACTTGCAAACGGAAGAGAGGAAAGTGGGGGAAAATCTGTTTAAAATTAGAATTCCGTGAGCACTAAGAGTCTGAATGAGCTAAGGCTGCCCACTGATCAGAGAGCAAAATTAACCTGCCCTGATCCTGCACCTTTCATTTTGTGTTATATTATCTGCAGAAATCCATATGGAAAATGTGTGTTTTTTTCCAGCCAGAAAAAATTATTTACTGTAAGACTTAAGGCTAAGTAGCTGTTAGAGGCCCAGGTGGTAAGGCTAGTTAAAAGTATAACTACTGTAAATGAGAGCACACCTACATTATTTGTTTAAAATATTTTTACTCTGCCTTTCTCCTTAAAAAAAACCCAAGGCCACTGACATCAATTAAAAGTCAATATTTAAAGGTAACACCAGTAACTAAACAAAGGTTTAAAAAGAATTGAAGAAATGTATAAAAAACAGTAAATAAACCAATGCTAAAAACACGTTTAAAAGCAACAAAGCCCCACAATCCATTTAAAAAACCCTCTCAAACAGTCATTCACTAAGGGAAAGCCTGTCTGAAGAGAAAGGTCTCCAGCTGGTTGCAGACGGAGAACCATGAGGAGGCCCGCCTGGCCTCTAGTGGGAGGGAGTTCCAGAGTCAGCCACTTGTGTGGGGGTAACTGTGTGTGTGAATATGGTGATTGGCCTTCCTCACCACCACGGTGGCCTAAAACAAGGACAGGTGATGCAGAGAACTGAAAATGCCCTAAACTAGAAAAAAAATGAAACTAGAAGTAACTAGCCATTGACTCCTCATCCACAGCCTTGGAAAAGTTACTTTTTGGACTACCGTGCCCAGAATCCCCTCACCCAGCATGAGATGCCAGGGAGCTGCCATCCAAAATAATTCTTCTATTCCAAATCCTGCACCCATCTCATCACTTCTTATATGCCTTTATTTTCAAACGGACTTCAGTGTTGTTCCACTGATCCAACCAACTGGTTTGGATTAGAAACTTTTTATTCAGTGAATTATTTATTTATTGTTTTGTTTTATTGGGGGAAAAACACCACACACAGCTCACGGTCTCAGTCCGTACGGTTTTGTTTCCTTTCGAATAAAAAAAAGGGCGACTCATCATTGCTGCTTTGGGGTCAGGAGAGAGTATTCCTCTGGAAATGAATTTCTAAATGTATATCACAGTAAATATTTGTAAAAAAAAGTTATTTAAGTAAATGATTGCTTTTTAAACGATATTATATAATTGTACAGTCCAGTCTCAGAGACTAGAATAATATATACATATGTATTTTTAAAAGATTACTACATAGCTCGATGTGAAATAATTTGTAGGTAAGCCATGCAGACCGAGTAAAGGGCAATTATCGCCTTCCTCCACCCCTTCATCCTGCTCCATAATCTCCTCCTGACGACCACCTGGTTATGGAGAATAATGTTATATAAAATGTATAGCTCTAGAAACGGAATGTGCTGTTACATAATGTATAATAATATATATATTTTTGGCCTAGCTTTGAGTGTGCTGGTGGGTCATTCTTCCTGTTAACATTTCTGCTAAGTCACCCTGCTGTTACGTTTTCAACTGCTGGGGGAGGCCACCTTTCTCCACTGACTCCTGCTCCTGTGCGTTTAGCAGCTCCATCTTGGCACCGCCAAATGGGCAAATCTGCTTCCGTCGCACTGTTACCATGGCAGGAAACCTGTGGTCCCCCAATAGTTAAGCAGAGGCAAGAAACCCTACAATCCCAGGGATGACGCTCACCCACCTCCGTATCCAGCTTTGCTGGAATTTGACGATTTTCCTCACTCCTTACCCAGGTAGGTGAATGTTGGTTTGCACTAATAGTTATTGCTAGGTAGGCAAGTTCCGGGAAACCCAGGACAATATTGAAGGCTTTGGTTTATGGCTGTGGAGCCAGAAGCTAAGAGTTCAACCACTCGTTGTACCTCCTGGGAGAAGAGCCAGCCTGTATAGAGAGACAGAGCGAGCGAGAACAGGCGCTTCTCCAAAATGCATTGTGTGTTATGTGCTGTCGAGTCACATCTGAGTGCTGTGTGGTTAGATACCTGGCTGTGGAGCCAGAGGTATGGAATTCCATTCTCCACCTTGCGTCCTGGGAGAAGAGCCAGCCTGGGTGGCCTTGGGCCAGCTGCACCGTCCCAAGGTTGCCCCCTAGAGGAAGGGAAGGGTAAACCACTTCTGAGTACTCTCTACCTGGAAAACCCCGAAAAGGGTCACCGTAAACTTTATCCTCCCTTTTAGAAGACTGAAAAGGTGGGCTTGAATTCAATGCCTGCAACAACCTTTTTGAAGACCAAGCTGGCACAATTTCAAAAAGTTGGGCATACACAGGCCTGGCATGGAGAGATCTAGAAACAAAGACAGCCCAAGAAAGAAGAATCGTGGGAATTTCTAATCCTTGTACACAAGCAACAGCCACTGCCGGTGAGGTTTGCCTTTCAGTCGGAAGTGAAACCAAAAAAGATCACATGAGCCACATGGAAGAATTTCAGGCGGTAGTGTTGCTGGATAGCTCAGGG